AATGGCTACTAACAGTTTTATCAGAATGTCCGATGACGTCATCTTTGTGCGTCTCCCGAATGTTCATTTCGGGTGTGCTGGCGTCCCGTGTCCACTGGGAGGCGTCAGAACGCCGTTGGTGAATCCCCAGTCTGCCTTAAGAGAGATTAGCCAGACCATTTACAGAACAATATGATCATTTTACAGATAGTTCAAAATGTGATTAATTACGATTAATACATTTTTAATCTGTAATTAGCTCGATTTAAAATGAATCGTTTGGCAAACGTTTGGCAAACGATAGGGCTGTCAAACGACTAAAATGTTGAATCGAGTTAAAAAGTGCAGAATGTCATTAAATCTGTCATGAACTGGTAGTGGAAGAGAAAATTAGGTACCCCAGCAGCGCTGAAGCTGGACTACGGAGCCTCAGTCTCCTCCGTGTCTTCTCCTGAAGCGCACTCGCTAAATTAAAGCTGGGGTACCTGATTTTCTCTTCACTACCAGTTCATGACAGATTTAATGACATTCTGCATTTCAGACTGTTTTAAATGTCTCTCATCTGTAACAAACAATAGTTTAGTCTGAGTCTAAACAGAAAGAATGTTAATAATGTTAATGCCATTTATATTTTATTGTTATAATAAACTAATACAGTGCACATGTACACTTTGCTGTCATTTATCTTTACATTCAAACGACCATTTAGATATAAATATGGCATCATTTTGCCGATATTTAAAAATGTGATTATTACGATTAATTAATTCCATCCATCCTTTTTCTTCCCCTTAATCCATTTCTGGGTCGGGGGGGTGGCAGTCAGAGCACCAGCCCCTCACTGATCCTCCTGCAGGGGGTGGGTCCACAGGAGCTCAGATCTTTCAGTGGGGGCTTCAGGCAAAGTGGGGTTAAGTGTCTTGCCCAAGGACACAATGACAGCAGTCATCAGTGGGAGTCATGAAGAAGTTCTTATGGTGGGCTTGAACCCACAACCTTCAGGCTCAAAGGCCAATGCTCTACCAACTGAGCCACTGTTGATTAATTCATTTTTAAGCTGTAATGAACTCGATTAAAGACTGTAATCGTTTGACAGCCCTGATTTAAACACATTTGCATGCATTTGTTTGCAAATTAAATCTATTTTAAATGAACATGAAAACTCATTAAACATTTATTTATATATTTGTTATTTTGTCAGTTTTGGTCCTTCATAGAGTCTGTGTCTGTGTCAGTGTTTATGACTGAGACTTTTAGCATTTATTCATATTTACATGTGTTTCATTGGATGTGACAGTGTGTCTTAGTGAGCAGCAGACGAGGACAGAGACACACACAGACACGTTTTTGTTACCTGGTGGGTCCCTTTGACAGAATGGGACCCATAGACATAATCTTTTTTTACTGGGACTACTTTAAGTAATACAAAACAGTCAATAGAAAACAAACAACTCTTTTAAAGGAATTTTATTTTAGATTTTTTTTTCGAATTGCAGTGATTCTATTTTTGACATAGAATTTAATGCCACTCCATGTCCGATGTCTAAGGTCATCTGGTGAGGCATTAATGCAGGCCAGGCAGTGAGACTTCCCAGGGACTTTTCCAGTCTGTATGAAAGGCGTCATGGTCTTCTCCACAGCCTTCACCTCAGATGCAGACCATGGCTTTCTCTAACGTTCTAGGGAGAGAAATAAAAATATATTAGCAATATACACTCCCAGGGTTAGGACCAAGCAGCCTGGCTGTAATCCCCCACCTGGTACACTTACCAGAAGGGGCACTGCCACTACCATGGGGTGCATCTGGATGAATGGTTGAAGGTTCTCCGCTTGAAGTTTCTTTTAGCCCGTCCGTTTGTGAGAGGATCTCTACTGCTCTCCCTGTCGCACAGAAAATAAAAATACGAGTGGCCTTTAGGGGAAAGAAATTATACATATTTTAATAATATCAAGAATTACCTTCAGGCTCAATTTGTATCTGGTCGAGGCTCTTTCCTTTGAATTCCGTCACTCTTCCCTGCTCCATGGCCATTAACACTTTGCTGATTTTGGCCAGCTCCAGTGTCCCCTCTGGTAGTCTGTAATATTGCCTGTGGATGCGAATGTCATGGCCGAGGAAGTTGGCTAGTATGTCCATGTCATTCTCTTTCATATTGAGAACTGTAGACATAGTAGCTATGTGCTTTCTAAGTTTGGTTGAGGATAGCATCTCTGGATGCACCGCACCACATTCTTTGGCTACCTGCCGTAGGGAGTCTGATCCCCTGATGTGGGTGTCTGCGCCCGGGCGGGAGAAGAAGTATGGGTTATGGTCAGAGATGGAACAGGCCCTTCTGTTCTCCACCAGCACCTCCATCGAAGCAATCATTTCAGGAGTCAAAAGAACCGGCACTTTCCGACTTCTTTTCCCTTTAATTTCAATGCGTTGAAAATGCTGACACAGCTTTTTCTCAAGTTGGGACAGTCCCAGAGCAATGTCAGAATGGATCCCAGTCTTACTTCTTAAGGTAAACGCTGTCAGTGGCATCTTTGAAACCTCACCTTCCCTTCTTCGATTGAAAATAATGACCTCACAAAGAGTCAAAACTGCCAGTTTAGACCAATGCTTAGACGTTGGCTCACTTATTAGGGTTTGCACATATTCAGGTCGACATACCTCAATATGTGCATGCATGGCTCTAACGTCCTCAGTCAGAGGGAGCAGGTCCGGAGTGTTCCACTTGGCTTGCCGGAGGGTCTGTAGGGCAGCAGAAGAAACACAGACGTCCCACCTCTTCTCAAAAAGCAGCCGGCTTCGTTGGAGGTTTTTAATAAATAGTTCATCAACACAATGCTCCATTTTTGAGTCACATTCAAGAATATCTGCTTTCTGAGGCTATGGCCGAGTTTGAGGGCCAAGGATGGAGTCTTGTATTGATTTGTTTCCTCATCATATCCAGCCACAGACCTGACTGCATCAATCACATGGTTAAAGTTGGAAGGAATAAAGAAATCCTTAATTGTTTTCAGTTTCCCTGCGGTTTTTGCTTCGTTAATTAACCTACCGACTTCTCTCATTTTCTGCCTAATGTAATCATGCTTAGTCTTATCATGCCCGTGTTTTAAGTACAGGTGCTCTCCGAGTCTCAGAATCCCCTTTTCTGCTTTGACACACCCGTGACCTCATCCTGATGCATTGCCCAAATTAAAGACCACAGCTTTTTGCTGATGCCCTCCGGTACAGGCTGGGCTAGGGAGCAGAGGGACTGGACCCTACTTCTACCTGGTTTAGCCTGGTTTAGCCTGGTTTAGCCTGGGCATCTTTCTGTGAAAGCCGGCACCTGGCCACATGCCTCCACAGCGACTTTCGCTTAAGCAATGCCCCACAGTCTATACAGTGCAAAAACTCACTGGATTTAACTGGGCAATTTGGCTGTTTAGCTGGGACTAAAGTTCCAATGCCGGCCTTTAAAACCTCAAAATTGTGCTCACGGTTTCCACTATTCCTGATCAAATCAAACTGAAGTTTACGTGCTTTAGATTTCACAGGTAGAGCCAATGCTCTGGCTACGTCACTTTCATTTCCATGTTTTCTAGTCAAATGACGGGACATTTTGTGGCAGGACATTGAACAGTAGAGGCAGAAGTGTCTCTTGCTGTAAACTCTCCCCCCATTTTTCTTCTTTTGCAGCTGCATGATAACAATCTTATTTGCCTTTGGTTCGTCACTTTCCGAGTCTTGAAGAAAAGTGTTTTTGATTTTTCTTTTTCCATACTTTTTTACAGGTTTCTTCTTGACAGTTAAATCGTCAGAATCTGAGTCGACTTCATCAATTAGGGACTCTTGACTAAGCTGCACAAACAACAAATAATTTGTAATAATTCTATATAACAATTTGAAGTCATGACTTGTAGTCAGCACTTACCAGTGGTTTGTAAGCGTGCGCTTCAGTGTGCTGCTCTGTGATTGGCTGCAGCCTAATGAACCACACACTTGCACCTTTTCTAGCCTGACACCTGACTTCCTCTGTTGTGCTGCTCCATGATTGGCTCCAGCCTCTGTTATGCTGCTCCATGATTGGCTCCAGCCTGCTGGACTGAAATTGCCCCAGTGTGCCCCTCCTTGATATCCCGCAACCCACCACCAGGGTTCCGACACATAACACACTTTTTTCAGGAAAGTAAACCTCCAGGGGTCCTTTCCATATTTTTACAGAGACTGCATAAGGACCGTTAGAAAAGCATTACCCATTGATTATTAAGCTTGGACCAGTGGGGTCCGGTGTTCGGGCCCCACCACGTAAAACCAGTCCCCATGACGTGAGTGGAATCTCAGGTTATGGAACCCACCAGGAGTTGAAAACAAGTGCACACACACACACACACAGACACACGCACACACACACAGACACACACATGTATCATTGGATGTGACAGTGTGTCTCAGTGAGCAGCAGACGAGGACAGACAGGACTGACCTCACTGTACAGAGACCAGAGTGTGTGTGTCTGTGTGTATGCGTGTGCGTCAGTTTGTGTGTGTGTGTGCATTTGTGTGTGTGTGTGTGCCTGTGTGTTTAAATGTGTGTGCCTGTGTGTCAGTGTGTGTTTGCGTGTTTGTGTGCTTATTTTTGTGTGGGCCCGTGTTTGTTTATGTGTGTATCTGTGCGTGTGTGTGTCTGTGTAAGTCAGTTTGTGTAGGTGTGTGTGCGTGTTTGTGTATATCTGTGTGTATATCTGTGTGTGTGTGTATATGTCTGTGTGTGTATGTCTCTGAGTGTGTACGTGTTTGAGTGTGTATGCATGTCTGTGTGTATGTGTTTGTTTGTGTGTGTCTTCATGTGTTTGTGTATGTGTGTGTGTGTGTGTGTGTGTTAAAATAAAGTGTAAATAAGTGTTTTGTCCGTTGCTCTATAATAAAAACAAATGTGGTCATTTTTGTGTGTCCCACTTGTGCGTCTGCTCTTGGTATCTGTGTCCAATCCAGTTTTCTCAAATGTGTGTGTGATGTTTGTGTGTCCTAAGAGTTGTTGTGTTGCTCAGAGCCGCTCAGGCTGGTGGGAGGGGCCAGTCGCTGCGCCGGGACAGTGGAGCTCAGACACAGAGGAGAGTGGGGACGAGTGGGGAAGGATTATAGAGACTGGACCGAGGAGGACTCAGCTGCTGTGTGCAGAGACCTGGACTGTGGGTCTGCTGTTTCTGGACGTCAGAGAGATGGTTTTCCAGTCAGTCCTGTGTGGAGGATCTCAGCTGACTGCATGAAGAGGAGGAAGACTAAACTGAGAGACTGTGTTCATGACACCACTCACTTCCCCTCCTACCCGTATGGTGTGGAGGTGATGTGTTCAGGTAAAAGTCAAAGTCTAACTTAAATCTCTGCTGGAGCTGATGTCTCTGTCTCTGCAGACTTACTGAACCGTCCAGTCCTGTCCCTCTCTGTGACTGTGGGGGCCTCCCAGGTCCAGGACTCCCAGGTCCAGGACTCCCAGGTCCAGGACTCCCAGGTCCAGGTCTCCCAGGTCCAGGACTCCCAGGTCCAGGACTCCCAGGTCCAGGACTCCCAGGTCCAGGTCTCCCAGGTCGGGGTGCAGGTGGTGCGTGTGCAGTTGGGGTCTCAGTTCTCGGTCCAGTGCTCGGTGAAGCCTCAGTTCCCAGGAGGCTCCTTCCAGCTGCTCTCTCCCTCTGGGAACCACACCCTGCCTGCTGTCAATCACTCTGCACACTTCCTGTTCAGTCACACTGGCCCCGCCCACAAAGGAAACTACACCTGTGTTTACCACCTACAGGTGTTCAACCACAGCTTCACCTCCGAGAGCGAGAGACTGGAGCTGAGGCTGGGAGGTACGAGATACTGCTACTGCTGCTGCTGCTACTGCTACTGCTGCTGCTGCTGCTACTGCTGCTGCTGCTGCTGCTACTGCTACTGCTACTGCTGCTACTACTTCTACTACTGCTGCTAATGCTTCTGTTACTGCTACTGCTACTACTACTGCTGCTACTGCTTCTGTTACTGCTGCTACTGCTACTGCTACTGCTGTTACTGCTACTGCTGCTACTACTACTGCTGCATCTACTGCTGCTTCTACTGCTACTACTGCTATACTACTGTGACTGCTACTGCTACTGCTGTTACCGCAACTGCTGTTGCTACTCCTGCTGTTACTACTACTACTGCTACTACTACTACTACTGCTGAAACTACTGCTGAAACTACTGCTGATACTACTGCTGATACTACTGCTGAAACTACTGCTGATACTACTGCTGAAACTACTGCTGATACTACTGCTGATACTACTGCTGAAACTACTGCTGATACTACTGCTGATACTACTGCTGATACTACTGCTGAAACTACTGCTGAAACTACTGCTGATACTACTGCTGAAACTACTGCTGATACTACTGCTGATACTACTGCTGAAACTACTGCTGAAACTACTGCTGAAACTACTGCTGATACTACTGCTGAAACTACTGCTGATACTACTGCTGATACTACTGCTGAAACTACTGCTGATACTGTTGGTAGATGGTGAGAAACTAAAGAAAGAGAAAACTGCTTCTTCCTTTTCTTTGACTTGAGAAAGAGCGATGAGCTCAGTATCTGTCCATCCATCCATCTTCTTCCCCTTAATCCATGTCTGGGTCGGGGGGGTGGCAGTCAGAGTCCAGTCCACAGAGCACCAGCCCCTCAGAGCTCAGGAACTGTTTTGGGATAAAACATCTGTGTTTTATCGTTCTCTGTGATCCTGGAGACGTGATATTTTCTCTGTAAATCCAGTTTCTCTTGAAGTACTTGTACTTGTACTTGTACTTTATCTAACCTGTTTTCTCTGGTGTTTTTGTTTTTGCAGTTCAAAGGTTTAACCCGATCATCAGAGTCCTGATTATTCTACTGATGACTCTCCTGTTCATCCTGCCACTGTGCTACTACTGCTACAAGGTACTGCTACTGCTACTACTACTGCTACTGCTGCTACTACTGCTGCTACAAGGTACTACTACTGCTACTACTACTGCTGCTACTGCTACTACTACTGCTACAAGGTACTACCACTGCTACTACTACTGCTGCTACTGCTACTACTACTGCTACAAGGTACTATTACTACTACTACTGCTATTACTGCTGCTACAAGGTACTACTACTACTACTACTACTACTACTGCTACTACTGCTGCTACAAGGTACTACTACTGCTACTACTGCTACTACTACTGCTACTACTGCTGCTACAAGGTACTACTACTGCTATTACTGCTACTGCTACTACTGCTACTACTGCTACTACTACTACTACTGCTGCTGCTACAAGGTACTACTACTACTGCTACTACTACTACTGCTGCTACTGCTGCTATAAGGTACTACTACTGCTACTGCTACTGCTGCTACTACAAGTTACTGCTACTACTTCTACTACTAAAAGGTATTACTAATACTACTACTACTACTTTATTTTTTTTTCTTGTTTTGTTTTTTATATCCTAGCCCGGAGCGACCCGGGGGAGAGGGCCCAGAGGGAGGGGAGCGACCCGGGGGAGAGGGCCCAGAGGGAGGGGAGCGACCCGGGGGAGAGGGCCCAGAGGGAGGGGAGCGACCCGGGGGAGAGGGCCCAGAGGGAGGGTAGCGACCCGGGGGAGAGAGCCCAGAGGGAGGGGAGCGACCCGGGGGGAGAGGGCCCAGAGGGAGGGGAGCGACCCGGGGGAGAGAGCCCAGAGGGAGGGGAGCGACCCGGGGGAGAGGGCCCAGAGGGAGGGTAGCGACCCGGGGGAGAGAGCCCAGAGGGAGGGGAGCGACCCGGGGGGAGAGGGCCCAGAGGGAGGGGAGCGACCCGGGGGGAGAGGGCCCAGAGGGAGGGGAGCGACCCGGGGGAGAGGGCCCAGAGGGAGGGGAGCGACCCGGGGGAGAGGGCCCAGAGGGAGGGGAGCGACCCGGGGGAGAGGGCCCAGAGGGAGGGTAGCGACCCGGGGGAGAGAGCCCAGAGAGAGGGGAGCGACCCGGGGGGAGAGGGCCCAGAGGGAGGGGAGCGACCCGGGGGAGAGAGCCCAGAGGGAGGGTAGCGACCCGGGGGAGAGGGCCCAGAGAGAGGGGAGCGACCCGGGGGAGAGGGCCCAGAGGGCCCAGAGGTCAGAAATCTAGGGGTAATACTGGACTCAGACTTATATTGTAATAGCCACATCAAATCAGTAACATCAGCAGCTTTTTACCATCTAAAAAACATTGCCAGGATCAAAAACATAGTGTCTAAAGCAGACTTGGAGATTCTTATCCATGCATTTGTCTCCAGTAGGTTAAGCCTAGCGTACATCGACAGAGAAACTGGGGACAACTAGTTGCAAGGCGGCTTTTGGCAACTGAGAGGAGATGGTGGGAGATGATCAGTTGCCAAAATCGGTCGATGTGCGCGCTCTTACAACTGGAGATGATCAGTCGGTCTCCAGTTTCAGTCAGTTGCCCGTGTTCTACTTTTCGGCAACTAGTTGTCCTCAGTTTCGGAGATATGACCCGATGTGCGCGCTCCATGCGCCGCTCCGACAACGTGTGTGTATTGCGTGTATTGCGAGCCCGCAACAGTTTATGTCAGAAAACACACTGTGGTTGAGGCCAGTTGCTGTCGATGTACGCGCTGTTATTCCCGAGACTGGCCTGCCACTGGGAGTTGCCCGTTTTCGTCAGATTGTCGATGTGTGCGGGGCAGCAACTCATATGCGACGGATATAATCAGTTGCCAGTCCGATGTACGCTAGGCTTTAGACTACTGCAATGGCCTGCTCACAGGTCTGTCCAAACAGGCTGTAAAACAGCTGCAGTACATTCAAAATGCAGCAGCTCCAGTCCTGACTAGAACCAGGAAGTACGACCATATTAGTCCAGGTCTCAGGTCTCTGCACTGGCTTCCTGTGGCTCAGAGAATAGACTTTAAAACAGCTCTGCTTGTTACAAGTCTCTCCATGGCCTCGCACCAAAATATATTAGTGACATGTTAGTCCCATATGAACCAGCCCGGACTCTGAGGAGCACAGGGACTGGACTCCTGTTAGTGCCCAGAGTCAGAACTAAACATGGGGAGGCTGCTTTTCAGATTCATGCTGCTAAAATCTGGAACAGTCTTCCTGAAGATGTGAGACAGGCCTCCTCTCTGACAATGTTTAAAACCAGGTTAAAGACGGTTCTGTTTAGCTGTGCATACAACTGAGGGATTTTATATTTTTATCTTTCTTTTTAATGTTCTGTGATTATTTATGATTTTAATGCTTTTTTGTTCTGTTCAGCACTTTGAATTGCCTTGTGTATGAATTGTGCTATACAAATAAACTTGCCTTGCCTTGCCAGAGGGAGGGGAGCGACCCGGGGGGAGAGGGCCCAGAGGGAGGGGAGCGACCCGGGGGAGAGGGCCCAGTGGGAGGGGAGCGACGCGGGGGAGGCCCGGGTACTGCAGGACTTGGCCTCTTTAAAAGTGGCCTCACCTGCTAAAAAACCTCCCTGAGCTCCTTTGACTGGGCTTGGGGATGTGCCCATAGTGCTTCAAGAAATGTGCTCCAGTTATCCTTCGTCAGATCTACCAGGTGGATACCAGGTGGATACCAGGTGGATACCAGGTGGATACCAGGTGGATACCAGGTCGATTAATGAAATATTTTGTGTTTTTGCGTCTTCTTCGATTTGTTTTATCCATTGTTTCATTTTGTTTGCCACACACATGTACAGGACAGACTTCTGCAGTACACCAGACACACACATGTACAGGACAGACTTCTGCAGTACACCAGACACACACATGTACAGGACAGACTTCTGCAGTACACCAGACACACACATGTACAGGACAGACTTCTGCAGTACACCAGACACACACATGTACAGGACAGACCTGAGAAGGGACGCTTCAAGTTACTACTGCTACTGCAACAACTTCTGCTTATACAAGGTGCTGCTACTACTGCTACTGCTTCTGCTACAGCGACTGGTTCAGACTTGGTTCAGACCTGGCTCAGACTTGGTTCAGACCTGCTTCAGACCTGGTTCAGACCTGCTTCAGACCTGGTTCAGACCTGGTTCAGACCTGGTTCAGACCTGTGGATGTCTTGTTGTTTCAGGTTAAGTCCAGAAGAGGCGCTAGTGAGACACATGAGACCATGATCCTGATGAATGAGGTCATCACAGAAGAGGAGAGAGGAGGAGACGGACCAGGAGGAGAGGAGAGAGGAGGAGACGGACCAGGAGAGGAGAGAGGGGGAGACGGACCAGGAGAGGAGACAGGAGGAGACGGACCAGGAGAGGAGACAGGAGGAGACGGACCAGGAGAGGAGAGAGGAGGAGACGGACCAGGAGAGGAGAGAGGAGGAGAGGGAGCAGGAGAGGAGAGAGGAGGAGACTGACCAGGAGAGGAGAGAGGAGGAGACGGACCAGGAGAGGAGAGAGGAGGAGAGGGAGCAGGAGAAATGAGTGAAGTGTAAATATTTCCCATGATGCTCTGGGTGTAAACGCCTCCTTCTGTTCAGCTTTGATCCTGTTGTTTTATTTCTCTCTGTTCGGGCTCAGAATGAAAAAGCTGTGGATGGAATCTGTCTCATTTATCAACGACACTTGTATGGCACATTCACACACGGATCATACACAGATGTGAAAACAATATTATCTGTTTCTATATTATCTGTATTTAGTGTCTTTTATTGTGTGTACATAATACTGTGTGTTTACTGCGGCTTCTTATATAATCATCTAATTATATGTCATGAGATACCATCAAGACCTAGACCATGGGGGTGTGTGTGTAACCATTGTCATTTATGATCAAAAAAATAATAAAACATTAATAAATGGAACTTGTTGGATGGATTTTGTCACAAAGTTCAATGTGTGTGGTTCTAAAGTCAGGTACCCCAGCTTTAAACAGCAGTCTGCAGTTTCCACGGCGACCAAGGGAGCTCTGAACCAAAGGTACCAGTGACAGAACAGACACAGAACCATGGACACAACTGGTCTGAACCAAAGGTACCAGTGACAGAACAGACACAGAACCATGGACACAACTGGTCTGAACCAAAGGTACCAGTCACAGAACAGACACAGAACCATGGACACAACTGGACTGAACCAAAGGTACCAGTGACAGAACAGACACAGAACCATGGACACAACTGGTCTGAACCAAAGGTACCAGTGACAGAACAGACACAGAACCATGGACACAACTGGTCTGAACCAAAGGTACCAGTGACAGAACAGACACAGAACCATGGACACAACTGGTCTGAACCAAAGGTACCAGTGACAGAACAGACACAGAACCATGGACACAACTGGACTGAACCAAAGGTACCAGTGACAGAACAGACACAGAACCATGGACACAACTGGTCTGAACCAAAGGTACCACAGAACAGGACACAGAACCAAAGGTACCAGTGATGACAGAACAGACACAGAACCATGGACACAACTGGTCTGAACCAAAGGTACCAGTGACAGAACAGACACAGAACCATGGACACAACTGGTCTGAACCAAAGGTACCAGTGACAGAACAGACACAGAACCATGGACACAACTGGTCTGAACCAAAGGTACCAGTGACAGAACAGACACAGAACCATGGACACAACTGGTCTGAACCAAAGGTACCAGTGACAGAACAGACACAGAACCATGGACACAACTGGTCTGAACCAAAGGTACCAGTGACAGAACAGACACAGAACCATGGACACAACTGGCCCCAGCATGGCACCTGGTGTTCCCACAGCATTAACCAGGGCCTGTCCTGATTATCTTTTAAGGTCTGATGGGTCTAGTCTCAGCTCATTGTGGGTAGCTCCACATTAAGCCCTGTTTACATCAAATGATGCAGCAGGTTTGCACAATCAAAGGTGCCGTACGTCTGCAGCTCACACATCTCTACGGCTGCAGGTTCTGATGTTGATCTGCGTTGAGGACGACAACTCATCACCGGCGACATAGCAAAAAGGTCAGAGCAGGAAGAGAAAGACACTTGGAATCAGCCAAAACCAGAACTACACAAAGATTATACAGGACTGACAATGACAGTCAAAGAACGTCGTCATCCTGACGTTACATTCTACAGTTACTGGTTCAAACAAGTGCAGCTGACTATCGGGACCAGAAGTAAATACTTCATGTAAGTACACAGGAGATGGTTATACAGATGATTATGCAAATGATTTTAATGAACAGACTTCCAAAACGCAAAAACGTAGCCAATATTGTTTTTTAGAGTGTAGGTACCCTAGTTCTAGTTCTAAGCTTTGACTTACTGCTACATCGGACCCGTCCTTCAATGCAACTAGTTGCTGATAAACTTGTGCAGGTGCAGCTTTCCTATATTACAAAGTTCTCTAGCTTCTCTGACAAGCTGAATAGCTTCTTCCTCAGAGTCCACAGCAGCCAACCCATCGTCAACATAATGATTACGCTGTATGAACTTCACTGTGGCTGGATTGAACTTGCTCTCACCTTGGGCAGCTAGATGCTTGAGTCCAAAGTTTGCGCACCCAGGCGAGGAGGCTGCGCCAAACAAGTGCACTTTCATGCGAAACACTGAAGGGGGTTGTTCCATGTTGCCATCCTCCCACCATAGGAAACGGAGATAATCTTGATCCTGTGGAGCAACATGAAATTGGTGAAACATGCGTTCGACGTCGCACATAACAGCCACTTGTCCTTTCCGGAAGCGACACAGAACTCCCACTAGTGTATTTGTGAGGTCTGGTCCCGTCAGTAGATGCTCATTCAAAGATGTATCTTGAAACTTTGCTGAGCAATCAAAAACGACTCGAATCTTGTTTGGCTTTTGAGGATGATAAATACCGTGGTGCGGAATATACCAAGCTGGTTGATTACTTATCTCCTCCGCTGGCACTTTCTCAGCGTCGCCTCTCGATATGATGTCTTGCATGAATGTCACATAGTCTTTATAATAGCGCTCATCTTTCTTTAAGCGCTTTTCCAGGCTTTTAAGTCTGTGTTCTGCACAAACCTTATTATTTGGCAAAATAGGTCTTTCTTCTTTAAAAGGTAGAGGCATTTCAAAATGTCCATCTTTCTTTTGTTTAATACCTTCCTTAACTTTAGACAGAAACATTACGTCTTCTTGTGACATTGATTCTTCTTCAGTGGAATTTTCTATAAAGTCCATTTCCAACACTTTAATTATCTCAGCTGGAGTAATCACTTCTTTAACTTTGTTTCTGCTTACAAAGTGAACTTCAGATCTGATCCTTTTGGAAGACTCAACAGCTGGAGATACTTGTTTGACAATGACGCGATGGCTTACTCCGATCTCATCACTATATTCATTTTCAGTGTGGCTGTAGCCAATGATGCTCCAGCCCAGAAGTGACTTTTGTGCAAATGGTTGCTCTCTTTCACCACTGATCACCTCTAAGGGCAGCAAAGCTTGGGGACAATTATATCCTATTAACAGTCCAACTTCACAATCGAGTTTTGGAGCCATTTCCTCAGACAAATGCTTTAGATGGGACCAGTTCTCTGCTGTCTTGTTTGTGGGTATATGAGATCTGTTAGCAGGAATATAATCTCTGGTATAAGTAGTTGGCAACTTGATTTTTGTGTCAGAGCTCATTCCTCTTACTTGTAGGTCATTTAACTTGTAGCTGGACACAATTTTTGTTTTGGACGTTATTGTGGAAATCTTGAGCTTGACTGGTTCAGAGATGGTGTTGAGTGAGTCTGCTGTGTCTTTAAGGATGAAAGTGGTGTCACTTTGAGTATCGAGCAATGCATACACCAGCTTCTCATTCTCTGGGTTGTCTACAGTGGATATATAGACAGGGATAACTGAGGAGGTACAACCTTTTGCTTTTTGTTGCACTACTCGGTTTGATGTGACTTGCTTTGATTCTTGTTCTTGTGACTCAGACACCTTTTCTGATTCGTTCTTTGCTTTTGGAAGTTCTTGGTCCATTTTTGTTTTTTGTTCTTTGTCTCTTTTTTCTCTGTCTTGATGTAGACATGTAGGGTGTGGCTTTTGGCATTTATCACAAACACTTCTGGAAATACAGTTCTTTGAGTTATGGCCGGACTTGAGGCAGCCAAAACACAACTTATCAGACTGCACAAACTTAACTCTCTCTTCGAGTGTTTTTTCCATAAACTTTCGACATTTATGCAGTGTGTGACCAGCCTTTTTACAGAAGAGACAAAACATGCCAGTCTTTTCATTGGTATTTGTGCTCAGTGTTTTAACATTCAGAGCAGGACTTCTTTTGGGTTTGTCTTTAAGGAAATGTTTATAATCTTGTTCAGCTGGCTTTATCGCTTGCAGTGAAGTGATTGGATTACAGGCAATGCGTGCTTCTTTATTTAGGAATTTGACAAAATAGCAAAAATCTGGAAACGTTTTGTAATCATCTTGAAACTCTGTCACCATACGGTTCCAGCGTGCACTTAGCCAGTCTGGTAACTTTGCGGCTATTCTCATGTTCTCAACACAATCATTGAGAACTTGTAAACCTTGCACGTAAGGCATTGCTGACTCGACACTGCTTAAGAAGTCTGCAAACTCACGTAATTCTTTACTGTCTTTCGTGTTGATTTTTGGCCACAACTGTATCTTGTCACGATGTGATTTGCCAATAACAAATGGATTTCCAAATCTATCTTCAAGTAGTTCCCATGCGGCAAGATAAGCTGAGTCTGTACCAACCAGGAAGTGTCCTTCAATAGCCCGTTTTGCTGAACCTCCAACATACCTTTTGAAAATAAAACAGCTTTTCATGTATTGGCAGGTTTTTACGGTCAACTAATGTCTGAAATGACAGCTTCCAATCGTTATACTGCAGTGGATCACCTGTGAAGACTGCAGGCTCTGGGATTGGGATTCTGTTAGCTGTTATGGCTTCAGCGAGTGTTTTTACCAGATCAATGGAGGCGACTTGTTCTGATGAAGGAGCTGCTTGAGTCACAGTCTTTTGCAGAAGAGCTTGGTGGCTTGTGGTGATTGCTACCTTTGAGGGAGAGAACGGTTGAGAATGTACATTTGGAAATCTTGATGGTAATGGGAAATTGTCCTTCAAAATATGAAGCTTTTCTTCTTCACAGTCTATACTTTCAGCATAAACTTTTAATCTTGCTTGGGCTGCATTATGCTTTTGCATCTCCTTTAATAGTTCCACTTCTTTTCTCTTTTCCTCCAACTTTGTTTTTATTGTTATGCTCTCTGTCAGGAACTGTGCTCTTTTCTTTGCGTCCTCTACTTCAAGTTCTCTTATTTGCTCCTCACATTGATGTTGTGTTTTCATGACTTTCATTACTTCTTCTGATGCAGCTACATCCGCCTCTGCTTGTTGTCTTTGTTGTAATGTGTGTAATGATGACTGCTTGGACACATCAGACGATGCTTTCGACTTGAAGGTTGACCCTGAGGAGACACGACTTGAAGTTGTTTCAAACACTGACCCAGAGTC